CCCTCGACCACTCCTCCCGTCTCCTGGGCCCGGGCCTCGGGTGGGAGGCCTCCCCTGCTGCCCACCCCCGGGGCCTTTGTGCGCCCAGCGAGGTCCTTTCCCCTCCTCCTTCCCTAGGTCACCTGGGTTGGTGGCCCCACCTGCCCGGTCGGGGGTGTGTGTGTGTGGGGGTGGTACTTATATTTGAGTTTGGCCTGAGATCTCCCAGGGTTCTAGGAGTCAGATGGACCTGGGTTCCATGGCCAATCACTAACCCAGTGACCCTGGGCAGTCACTCTGCCTCCTGGAGTCTCAGTTTCTTATCTGTACAATGGGGGTAAAGGCTGCTTCCCGCTCCGGGTCAGCCTGAGGATAAAGGATGGTATTGACCGTGAGAAGTGGGCGGCAGTCAGTGGTCAATATACGCTGGGCTTGGGGCTTTTTTAGGGGGTGACCCTGGGTGGAGGTCTCAGACGCTCAGGGGAGCAGGTCATCCCAGTTTGCTGTCCTGAGCAGCCACCACTGCCTGAGTGGACCCTTAAGCCCTCTGCAGTCGGGTCCCAGTGTCCCCGGGGGCACAGGCCCCTCCAGGCAGCCTGGTAGGCAGGGCCCAGCAGGCAGTCGGGGTCACCTGGTTTGCCAACCCTGGTTCCAGTCTCTGGCTCCCTCCCACCTCCTGCACTCCCCGGACCCAAGCCAGAGTAGAGGGGGGAGGAGGAAGCAGAGCCGGGGCCCTGGATCCCTGGGGCCCTGGGGCCCTGGGACAGGAGACGGGGCCAGGAGCCTGGATGGGCCGCCTGGGTCCCTGGAGGCCTCGGGAACATTGGTGGGAAAAGAAATCTGGGTCTGATTCAGAGGCAAACAGATTGTTCTTTTGATTAAAGCCACAGCGGCTGAGGCCAGAGGAGTGCTGGACCCAGCACCATCTGGGGGAGGCCAGGCGGGGTCGAGCTCTCCCCCGGGGCCAAAGCTACAGTCACCCTGGCCAGGATGGCTCTGGGGCTGCTGCTGAGGGGCTCCCGCTCATGGGGGTCGTGACGGGGGCACCTGGGTACGCTGTCTCGTTCCCCCACCCCTCCTTCTCCTCCTCCCAGCCCCTCTCAATCCCTCACCCACTTGTGAGCCTCTCAACCACTCCACAATAACGATATGGTTAACAGTAGCCCCCGAGGCAGAGGCTTCCCGGGTGCAGGCGCTTGACCTACAGGCCTCTCCATCGAATCGCCTGGACAGCCCTGTGGGGCTGGACTGGTCATTCCTGCTTCACCATTGAGGAAACTGAGGCCCAGAGAGGCATCAGGCCACATGAGGGGCAAGTGGCAGAGCTGGATTCAAACCCAGAGCAGCCGTTGGCCCCGGGGAACACACGCTGCCCTGTGGCTCCCGCCCCTGCACCTGCCGCCCACAGGGGTGTGGGAGTTGAGGCTTGCAGAGCACGGTGTGGCCCAGGGGACTCAGACTCCAGGCTGCCTGAGCCCTTGATCAGGCCCATTCCCCAGCCTGCAGGAGCTTCCCCAGGAGGAAGGAGGGGGCTGCTGACGGCCAGGGATGGGAAGGACCTTAGGGAGGAAGGTGCGATCCAGGGGTTTGCCCTAGAACCCCCTTTTCAAGTGCTTTGTGACCCAGAAGCTTATTTAAAACAGGTAAAAATGGAGCTGCCCTCCCTCACCTTCATGATATCCCCTGAGCCGCCTCACTGCACCCGCAGATGGGACAATGAGGCCCCAAAGGGTTGATCTGCGGCCTCGTCCAAAGTCACACGGACTCCTTCTAGGGCCCAGGCTCCACACATCTGCTTGGGGCTAGGACTGGCTGGGAAGGGGGAAGGTCGAAGGGATATGTGGGGGTCCAGCTGCCACCACTTACCTGCCGTCTGGCACGCCTGGCCGCCTGTTCTGCCTCTGTCACTGCTCCTCGGTGGAGAGGAGCCTTTCTGGGGAAGGCGGTCCCACACCAGCCCGGGGGGCGGGGGGGGGTGCGGTGTGTCAGTGTCACCTTGGCTGGTGCCAAGCTTCCTGTAAGGGAAACCCAGGAAGTGTCCTGGGTGGGAACACACGCCCTTTGTCTGCCAGCTCAGAGAGCCCCTGATCCCTCCCCCTGTCCTGCTAGCCTTGGACCCAGCTCTCTTCCAAGCAGTTGAGCAAGGCGGCTCAATCTTTTAGTAGGGCTGTGGCAGCTGAGACTCCGGGTGGCAGGGAAGGGGTGGGAGAGAGGTTTGGGGGACAGAACCAGGGCAGTGCGGACGTTTGCTGCCGCCCGGTCTGAGGGGAGCATGCACCTACTGCCCCCAGAAGAGGGCTTTGATCCAGCAAACATTGGTTGGGCATCTACTATGTGCTAAAAGGAGTCGTGGAGCCCAAGGGAATCAAATCAGACACAACCCATCCTTGTCCCCACGGAACTTCCGGAGAGGTGGGGGAGATCAACGTGTAACACAAACTACTCTAATACTTACCATGATCTCACGGTGACCATAACATAATGGTGATGTGTGCCATGAAGGAATGTATAAGGGGCTGACACAGAGTAAGGGGGGGGCAGGTGAGAGTAGGGAAGGCCTCTCTGGGGGCCGGGTGTCAGTTAAGCTGAGATGAGGAGGAGCCAGCCATGAGAAGAACAGGGGAGGGCATTCCAGAGCCAGGGAGGCAGTAAGGAATACACGGGCTTTGAGGTCAGATTTCGGCTTAACTCCCAGCATTCTGGTGCTGGCTATGACCTTGGACAAGCTCTTTCCTTCTCTGAGGCTCTGTTTCCTCACCCATAACATAAGGGAGGGGCGCCTGGCTGGCTCAGTGGGTGGAGCATGCAGCTCTTGATCTCGGGGTCATGGGTTCGAGCCCCACATTGGGTGTAGAGATTACTTAAAAATAAATTATTTCAAGAAACAAACAAAAAAATAGGGGAGATGGATCAGATACCCTCCCCTGGGGACATGAATGCTTCCCTTTGTAGAACTGTTAGGGACAGAGGTGCTGAAAGGGGCCCCCAGGGCCTGGCTCATGGTCAGTGCCCACCAATGGTAGTTCTGGCTATTGTCACGTCACCCTCGCCTGGTCTCCAGAGCCCTCTGTTCACACAGTCCATAGGCTGTGCAACTAGACCCGGGAATAGGAACAAGTTTCCCGGAGCCACACAGCCCCCACTGGCAGAGACCTTGAAGAAGGAAAGCATCTGCCTGCTCAGTGGCCTTTCCCCTTGACCGGCTCCGTGTGGGCCAGACCAGAGCAGAACCATCAGCCCCAGCCTTTGGGGGGTGGGGTGCCCAGACTTACAGCTGCATGAAGTTGTACATCCGGGGCGGGGGGAGGGGCAGGGGGTCCACTTCTTGGCAAAGAGCCTCAAAAACCTCCCTGGGCCTCCCCGTCCTGACTCTGCCCCTGCTCCTTCTTCCATCCTCTGCTCTGCCTGCTGGGAGTCGGATCAGCTCAACACTTATTCCCTGAGCACCTACTGTGTGTCCAGCCAGGCAGGAGCGGGAGCAGTTCCGAGACGCGGGAGCCCACCTCCCACTGCAGCAGGGCAGGTGGCGGGCCAAGCACAGATAGGAGTCAAATCAGGATCTGTGAGTGAGTCCAGCCCTGCCACTGGTCAGTCGCTTGCCTTGGGCAAATCGGTTTCCTCTTGTCACCTGGGCTTCACCGTGAGGATTTGATGGATGCATGTGGATAAATATGCCTGGTGCTTCGCAGGTGTTCAGAGATGAGTTCCTTTCCTCTCTCCCTGGCAGGGAGAGGACAGAGGTCTGGGGAGATCACCGCGAGATGAACAAAGTGCTGGAGGTAAGGCAGAGACTTGGTTCCACTGGAGAATCCAAGGGACGTCATGGCTCCTGTCAGCCGGCATCACTTCCCTGGATTCTGGTCACAGCCTCCAATTTCTGTCTGAGGAACCCCCACCCCCGCTGTCAGTGCCTAGCTGGAACTATTTAAAAAGAGGCAGCATTTTTCCAGTCTTGCCAGAATGCAAGCTTGGCACCACTTTTTTACGAGCACTTGGACCAACACAGAGGGCATGGGAACAAAGAGGATAAAGAAGGAGAGATAGCTGATCTCATCACTTAGGCTGCTGGATTCAGCCATGCCTGAAGTCTTCCCTCTGGACCTCTGGAGCCAATGCATTCTCTTTTTTCTTGCCTGTCTTCAACAGGTTAAAATTGTGTTTCTGTTGCTGAAAGCAGAGTCATGGTGAAGACTGGTGAGACCCCATGGGTCTGGATCACCTCCTCCTCCTGTCAAACTCCGCATCCCTGTCACCACTTTTGAGAAGCCTGTCCTGATTCCTCCAGGCAGGCTTAGGAGTCATGTCCATCCCCTAGATACATCCCAAGGCTGCTGGGTTGCACCACTATGTTTTCCCCATGAGCCTGGGAGCAGGGCTCTGTCTCATTCCTTTCTGGGTCTCCAGCACCCAGCATGATGCTTGGTGCATAGTAGGGACTCAGTAATTCCTACAAAATGCGCAAGTTGGAGATGGAGGTCTTAAGTAGCTGTGTAGGCAAATCACGTAGAAATAGTGATGGGTAGTGAGCTGTAAAGGGCTTGGGCTTTGGAGTCAGACCTCCTTGAATTTGGATCTTGGCTCTCCCACTTATTAGCTCTGTGACCTTGAGCAAGTCATGTGATCTCTCTGTACCTTGGGTTTTCTCCTGAGGAGAAAGAGAAACAGTCAACTCCTCCCAGGTTGCTCGGAAGGCTGGGGGCAGGTAATGCAAATTATGGTCCCTTGGCGGGCTGGTGGGGACTGGAGCCCACAGTCAGCCGCTGGGCTACATGCCCTACCATCTGTTCAGTGCACTCAACAAATGGGGAAACTGAGCACAGACAATAACTTGCTCAAGGTCATAAGGTTAGTAAACGAGCTTCATTCAAACAGGTGTCCTGGCTCCAGGCAACTCTACTGAACGGGCCAAGTGTGTAGGGAAATGTTTAAAAACCCAGGGGGAGCAGACTGGGCCACATTATAGCCACATAAATTCCCCTCCTCTCAGGCCCCAAGTCTGTGTCCACTTGGGCCACACAGGGCCCAGCCTCCCAGACCTGGCTATGACAACATCGTCTGGGTCTTAATCCCCTCCTGCTCCGGGGGCCTGAACTGACACTGTCTAAGCTGGTTGGTTCCCATGGTTTGCCAAGTCAACACAGGCTCCAGAGTGAGAGGTGGGCCGTGGAGGGGCTTGAGGCTCCTTGACCCCAGTCTTGAAGGTCAGAGCTCCTTCTCGGACAGAGAGGGGGAAATCCTGGAGTCAGTCAGGTCCCTGAGGTCCCTGAGACTTCCCCAAGCCCTCGGCCGCTGGCCAAGGCTGAGCCCCTGTTCAAACACCTCACTGATCCCATCCCCCAGCTTGAGCCCCCAACCCCACCAGGAGCCCCCACCCTTGGCTTCATCTACTCAGCAACCCCAGTCCCTGAGACCCCTCCTTACCCCCAGCTGGCCTCCCTACTTCTCTCTTAGCCAAGGTGGGTTTATAGTGACTGTGTAGGCCTCTTACTTGGAGGGGCCCCTGTGAGGGTTGCTGGGAGTTACAGAGTGTTCTGGGAGGGGAGGCAGCCAGATTGCACTCAGGAAGCATTTTCCATTAAGTGCTCCTGGCACGCTGCCCAGGGAGATGTCAGAAGAAGGAACCCAGGTCTCTAGGCCTCCAGCAATTTGTTATGCTTTTCTTTATCGTTCTATCACTATTCATTTAATACAGATTTTGTATTCTTTTTCCTAAGGGGGGCCCTTAAAATTGGACTGGCCCTGCTCTTACTCCTTCACAACACATCTCCACTGATGGCCAGACCATCTTGCTAAAGCAGCATGTGATCTTCAAGGGTCCCCACAAAGCCCCTCAGGGGCTCCTGCTGCTTTCGGGGCGGTGGGGAATGCCAGGCCCTCCTGTGATCCTGGGTGATCTGGCCACAGCCAGCCTCTGTGACAGTGTCTCCCACTGCTGGGACTCTCGCCCCCTCTGTTCAGCCACGCAGACCTTTCTTTAGCCCCTCAGGCGGCTCAGCCCCTGGGCTTCCCCACCACTCCCTTGGTCTGGGAACTCCCCCTGAATGTTCAGGATTCCAGGTCAACAGCTCTTTGTCAGTGAGGCCTCCCTGAGCCCCAGACCTCATCAAACCTCGTAACATCTGGCCTTCCCGCCAATGCTGACCACACCCGCGTGAGATGGCCCTGCTCTGCCCCAGATGCCTCCCACCTCATTCACCAGGTTTTCAGGCCAAAAAGCTAAGAGCCCTGGGTTCTTCTCATTCTCTAATACCCACATCTAATTGATCAGGACGCCCTATGAACTCTTCACAATACATCCATATCCATCCAGCCATGTCCATCCATCCAATCCAATCCATCCACTTCTGGCTACTTTTCATGGCTACCATCTTGGTCCAAGCCCTGGGTTATTCCCAGGGTTATTATCATCTCATGTGGGTAATTCCAAATGCTCCTAAACTGGTTTTCTGTTTCTGCACTATTCTACAAACAGCAAGGAGAGGAATCCTTTAAAAATGTTAAGTCACATTATGTCACTCACTCCCTTGTACAAACTCTCTGCTGGCCACCCGTCACGACCCTCACCGTGGCCCTGAGTGAGCCGGTCCCTGCCTACCTCTGCGACCTCATTCCTGCCACTCCATCCTCTCTGATGCTCCAGCCACACTAAATTTCCTGCTGTTTCTACAATACTCTCAGCTTGTTGCCACCTCAGGGCCGTGGCCCGGGCTCTTCTCTCAGCCAGGGATGTTCTTCCCTCAGAATCTGCTTGGCTTGCTCCCTCAGTCCATTCAAAAAAGCCCTCCGTGGAAGGCAGCTTCAAAGATGGCCCCCAAGGTTCCACACCTTCTGCCCTGCCCTTGTGTAATCCCTCCTCTCAAGGGTGGGCAAGACTCAGGGACTTGCTTCTAATCCATGGAATACAGCAAAAACAATGGGTGTTGCTTTTCACATCGGGCTACAAAAGGACTGTGACTTCTGTCCTGCTGTCTGCTTTCTCTCTCCCTCCCTGGCTCGCTCTGAGGGAAGCCAGCTTCCATGTTGAGAGCTGTCTTTGGAGAGGCCTATGTGGCAGGGAACTAAGGACACCCTCAGCCAACAGCCAGAGAGGAACTGAGACTCTCGGTCCAGTAGCCCACAAGAAACTGAACCCTGCCAACAACCATGTGAGTGAGCTTGGAAGTGGATCCTACCCCAGTCAAGCCTTAAGATGACACCAGAGCCTTGGCCAACAACTTGACTTGGTCTGTGAGGAGAACCTGAGCCAGAGGACCCCTCCAGGCCGTGGGACCCAATCCACAGAAAGACAGTAGGGGCACCTGGGTGGCTCCGTCGGTTAAGCGTCTGAGTCTTCAGCTCAGGTCATGATCTCAGGGTCGTGAGATGGAGCACCACGTTGGGCTGGGTGTGGAGCCTGCTTGAGAGTCTCTCTCTCCCTCTCCACACTCCCCCCCCACCCCCCACCCCCGCTCAAGCACATGCACTCTCTCTCAAAAAAAAAAAAAAAAAAAGAGGGAGACAATAAATATCTGTCGTTTTAAGCTGCTAAGTTTTGGGGCCACTTGTTACGTGGCGGTGACTAACAAATACCCTCTCCTTAGCCTGCTGGCCCCAACCTCCCGCCACTCTATCCCCTTACCCAGCTTTATGTTTCTTTATAGCACAGTTGTTACTTCTGCATCTTTTCTGGCCCAGAGCCTGGCCCCATGCGGATGTTTAGTAATTACTTGTGAATGAGCAAACAGGGGAAGGCATGCAAGATGCCCAAAGGGACAATGCCATAGCTCAGAAGAGCCAGCAGTAGCGGGCTCAGGAGGGAGGAGGCTGGCTCACCCCAATCCCAGCTGCCCTGGAGGTTACCATCCTCTCTTAGCAGAGACTGGGAGTCCTGGTCTCCCACCTCTTCAGAAGGATGCTGGTCTGGGCCCAGCATTCGGGCCTCTTATGGTCTCTGTAGGAGAATGAGTCCCAGCTGCATACCCCACTCCAGACCGTACCTTCTGGATTTCCTCTGCTCTCTGGACTTCAGGCCTGTTTTTCTTTGTTTGGTATGGAGATTTGCTAAATGCCTCACTTAGAGTGATCTAATTTTTATGCCCTTGTCAGACTTTTCACAAAAATAATTTAATAGATAAGAATCCTATTCCAACCCATGTGGCCCAATTTTTGTTTGGAAATGGTCCCCATGTCCATAAAAAGGAAAGGACCGCCAAATCCAATCCCCTACCAGCCCTATCCCCACTGGATCCCAGGCTGTTGGGAGCCAGGAGGCCAGGGAACCTTCCAGCAAAAACATCGGGCCCGAGTCGGAACCTGGTGCCTGGGTCTGGCAAGGGCTGGCCGTGTGCCCAGCTAACTGAGCCATTTCCTCCCAGACTGGGGCAAGTTTCCTGCCCAGAGGGAACTGAACACACTCCCAGGCGGAGGGGGGGCTGGGTCCTGGATTGGGAGAAGGGGCAACCACAGGCATTTCCCCCACCTCAGCTACTTTGGAGCTGAGAGGCCCTCCTGGGGGTAGAGCGGGGAGAGCAAGGGATCAGAGATTGGGCTTGAGCTGTCAGTGGGTGGCCATTTCTGAAGGAGCAGAAACCACCCTGTCCAGCCTTGGGGCCAGCCTGCCCCCGTGTCCCAGGTGTGCCCTGGGGTGGGGAACAGAGAAGCCTACACCAGACTCTGTCTGCTTCCAGAAGAAGTAGCCTTTGGGTGAGCATGGTGGCCTTTGCTGAGAAGCAGGGCTCGCCAGAACCTGGAATCCTCCAAGAACCTTCTCGCCTCACCACCTTCCTGGTGCGTCCTCGGTCACTCCCAGACAACCTGACCCTCGTAGCCCCCTGGACACCCCCTAGCTAGGAGTCTTCTTTGCCCTGTGGGGTCCCTCCTTGGAAAGGGCCCTCAATCCCCGTGGGCCCAGTGCCCAGGCCAGGAAAACATGGCTGTGATGAAACCTCAGGTTACTCTGCTCGCAAGGTGGCTGGAACCACATTCCAGAACCTTCCAGGAATGGACCTGCCCTGTTTTTTTATATGCACCTCTGTTGGTTTCCGTGGCCCCAGCTCTTCAACAAGAAGAAGGTAGCAGGAAGCACGCAAAGCACTTGAGCTTTGGGGGTCAGGCCACCCGGGCTCCAATCCTGGCTTCGCCACTAACTAGCTCTGTGACCTTGAGCAAATTATATAACCTCTCTGGGCTTCTCTGGGCTTTCTGAATCTGTTAAAAAGGGATAACAGTACCCGTCTCTTGGGGCTGATGTCAGAATGAAAAGAGATCATAAAAGTGCTTGGCACGTGGTAAGCATCTCACACATGGCCATTTTTCTTCTGACTGGCTCAGAGAGTGACAGCGACCCACCCAATGGCACACAGCAAGTAAGGAGAGGAGCTGGTACCCAACCTTTTCCCAGATACTCTGTGGCCTCCCTGGGCTGGGCCCTGCAGGGGAGACAGGGCTGAATGAGGCTGAGAGAGCAAGGACCCTCATGGTCTTAGACAGCCTAGGATGGGGCGGGACACGGACACCGTCCACCCACAACTGCAAGTGGGTGCTAGACCATGAGTCCATGCCACCGAATCCCTGTCGCTTCCTCAGCCACCTCAGTATTGAACTCCTAAACCCCAGGGAACCCAGTCCGCATGTATCCCCGGAACCTGCCCCAGCCAGAAGGGCTGTGTGGCCTCAGAAAAGCCTCTTTCCCTCTCTGTGTGTTCAAGATTCTAAGCACAGGTTGAGAAAAATCATCTTTATTGTTGTCATGGAGGAGGAGAGGGAGGCCAGTAAAGGGGGGCCATTCTGAGGATGCAATTCTTCCCCATTCCCCAACCCCCCTGGGGAAGGAGGGTCTGAGGGGGCTGTATGCATTGTCCATCCTGAGAAAAACAGGGCTTCACCCACTGGCTTCCTGGTGCCCCCCTTCTGAGGTCCCTAGCCCCAAGCCTTCGCCTCCCTGCAGGAGCCCCCAGCGCCCACCTTGAGCTCCAGGTGGGGCTGGCCCCTCTGCTGTGGGGCAGTATCCTGGAGTCAAGGCCTCCAGATGAGCCTGGGTGGGCCTAAGACGGACTTCAAGTCCTTGCTAAGGCAGGTCAGGAGGGGGCTGTGTCCTGGGGCTGGGCAGCTGCTGAGGGCTGGGGCTGGGACTGCCTTGGAGCTGACCCCGAAGGCCTCTGGGATGGAAAATCCTGAGGGAAGGTGGGGAGGCAAAGATGGAGGACAGCACTCAGTTCCCCCATCCTCTGGTGGGGGACTTCAGGCCTCTGATTACCCAGGCCCTTCCTCCCACTAGGGACCTCTGAGGGGTCAAAGGTTAACACCAGGAGGAAGAGGGGATTTCAGCTCCTTCTGCCCCCACCCCAAGAGAGGTCACCCCAGCTCTTCGTAAACTTGGGGCGTGTTGAGGCTCCTTGCACTGTCTGGGGCAGGTCAGTGTCCGGGGGACGCTCGGGGTGGGGTGCCCACCTGTATCTGGCAAAGGTCCAGCAGAGTGCGGCTGCGTGCCAGGCACCAGAGCTCACCCAGCAGGGACAGGAGGACTCCCAGGAGGTCCAGCCAGCAGCCCACGGTCAGCAGCAGCACGAAGAGACCACCCATGCGCACCAGCAACGTCTGGACCTGGCTCTGCAGGCCGGGGTGTTGCCGCTGTTCCTCTGGGGGGGAGGGGTGCTTGTCACCGCCTGCCGCCACACCTGGGGCCCCAGGTCACTCTCCCCTGCTGGCACCTGCAGTGGCTTCTCAGCTGCCTGCCAGCCTGGCTGATGAGGGTTCCCCGTCAGGCCCCCATGACGCTGGCCAGCCTCATCCCCTCCCCATTCCCCCGGGGTGACAGCCACACGCAACTTTTTCCAGTTTGACGACGCCGTGCCTTCTCTCACCTCTGGGCTTTGGCATGTGTGGTTTCCCCTGCCGGGACCTCCTTGCCCCCACCCCCCACCTCTCCCAGGGGGCTCCTACTTGTCCTTCAAAACCCACTTCAAGCTCCCGCCGCACGCCACACCCTTCCCTGAGCTGTTCCCTGTGGCTTCTGTCACTAGACTGGGCGCCCTGGGATGGCGGGGGGGGGGGTGTCTGACCGTGGCTGGCCTCCCCAGGGCCTAGCGTGATGATGCTGTGCCCGGGTCGGGCAGCGGCACGTGAGTGCCCAGGTCCCCCGCGGTGGCCCTCACCCTGCATGTAGATGACCAGCAGGGCGTAGCAGATGACGAGCGGCATCCAGAAGCGCACGGCGTCCGAGGTGGTGGGGAAGTCCCGGTTGACGAGGGCCACGGCCGCCAGGTTGCCCACGGCGAAGGCCACGGCCAGGGCGCGGGCCAGCAGCCGGGGCAGGTGCGGAGCGCCAGCCAGCAGGCCCAGGCACACCCCGCAGCGCTGCAGGCCGCGGTGCGGCTCGTAGAGCTGGCAGGCGTGGCAGCAGAGGCGCCGGGCGCCCGCGCTGAGCAGGGTGGCCAGCCCGAGGCCCAGCAGCAGGCTCAGGGTGCGGTGAGGGGCGCCCTCCTGCAGGAAGCTCAGGCCGCAGGTCAGCCCGCAGCCCAGTGAGTGCTGGCTCAGCAAGTACAGCTGCAGCCTCTCCCCCTCGGAGCCCTGCGCAGGGGTGGGGGAGGAGGGAGCAGAAGAGGGGCCCTGGTGGGGGGGGCTGCCTCTCCCGCGGGGGCGGGGGACGGGCCAGGCGGCTGTGAAGGCACACAGGCCGCTCTGTAGGAGGCTGGGGCCAGAAGGAACCCTGGGAATCGTCCCCAAAGAAGGAATACTGCCTTCGGGTCAAGCCCTGCCTGGGACCACTTCTTCCTGCCCGGTCGCCAACACGATTGCTACTCGCTGAAGGTTGGTGGCCCGGAGCCTCGAAGACCTGGGTTCAAAGCCTGACTCCACTTCTTGCTGGTTGACCTGGGACAAGCCGCTCACCCTCTCTGAGGCTTAGTCCCCCCATCACAGCAGAGCTTTACCCCCGCTGATTGTGAGGATGCGCGAGATGACGCACCCAAAGGATCTGGCAGGGCGCCTGGCGCCTGGGGAGCTCCACAGCCCGGAGCTGCCACCGCCCTTGGCCCGGGGCTTCGGGCCACTGCGGGACTGTGCTCCCAACCCCCAGGGGCAATCTGCACTCTCCAGTCTCAGTCTTACAGAAAGGGGGTGGTGAGGAGACGGGGTGCTCCGGCTGGGCCCAGCTTCCTGTGTTCTGGGGGAGAACTAGGGCCCAGGGCTGGGTCGTGACTCACCTCCTCCGGAAGCCTTACCTTGCCCAGGGAGAGCAGTGTGGAGACAGCCCGGAGGGAGAACTCAAGCACCACCAGGGCGGCCACCCGGGCCCCCAGGACCGTCAGGATCAGGGCCAGCCCGGCCAGGTGCACCATCTCCAGCGAGGCCCACTGGGCCTGCAGCCGCTCCTTCTCCAGCCGCCGCTCGGGGTTGCTGTCGGGCAGAGCGGGCGTGGGCAGGGGCAGAACCACCAGCCTCGGCCCAGGCAGCGGACCCCGTGCCCCCAGAAACGCACCCTGGGGACGGGGTTCTCTTCCTTCCAGCCCTCCCCCATGAGGCCAGCGTCAGCTCAGGGCCCAGGGCCCAGGGGGGGGCCCCGAGTGGGCTGGGTTGGCAGACACTCACTTGGCACAGTTCACAAAGAAGTAGACCTTCAGGAGGCTGTTCAGGACCGAGACTCCACTGGCCCCGATGAGGCCTGAGGGGCAGGAGGGAGGGCAAGCGAGTTTGGCAGGGTGACAGGTGGTGGGAGACCCACGTGGGGGGTCCACCCTGCGGGGGGGGGAGGTCCCAGAGCTGCCTGAGGGGCGGGGCTGCGCAGGATGAGGAGGCGGCGCTCACCTTGAAGGACAGAGTCGAGGAGGCCGGAGCCCCACTGGAGGGAGGGGAGGCTGGGGAGCCAGGAGGGGAGGGAAGGCAGGGAGAACATGGCTGCCAGGATCAGCCCCAGCCTCCGGCCAGGTCTGCACCACAAAGACCGACGTCATGGGGCAAAGGTGTCAGTGGAGG